TCACTCGAAATGGAAGTAAGCTCAACAATTATGAAACAAGAGATTCCTGGAAACCCAACTTTTCTTCGCCTCATTTCATCAGAAGCAAGATTTTTTTGTCACTACGTAAACCTGTATGATTAACTTGTGTTGACTAAATGATAATTATTTGCACTTCGTCTGGAGTGCCGAGTCCATCTGCTCGTGCTAGTGCCGAAAAGCTGAGTTTTAAAACGTAACTTTCACGCAAATGTGCATCTCATCAAAGGCAGAGTGACGTCTCGCTCTTCTCCATACCGAAACTGCTGCTTGAGTTGCACACTCAACGGTGCCCCGGTATTGTCTGTCTACTCACAGAAAAAGCGAGGGCAACCGCTCCACATTGACCAAAGTGTGTAGCGATATGGGGAGGTGTGTGAAGTGGAGTAGAGTGTGGTGGTATGATTTCGAATCCAACCGCTTCCGTGCGGGGGTCGCAGCGAGGCAGAAGCTCCGGCCGAATGCAGACTCAGCCGATGAGTTGTATGATTGAGTGAAGCGTGTGAACTTTCCCGTTGGTTGTCAACTCGAGCCGCTTTTGACGCTTCTTCACCGGCACTGCTGCCACCAGACACTGTTCTTGTACCAATGCCGGACATCTGTCAGTTCGTCTACACGCCCTAGCAACTGTTGGCCCACATTTTTCGTCTTGACCCTTTTTCAAATCTTTGGATCAGCTCTAATCTGCTTCCCTTCATTCCACCCTCTTGCTTAAACTCCGTCCGATCCTCCACCCCACTCTATATTCCCACTCCATGTCTAAACCTCTGTCCCTCTCTCTGTACACCACGCTGTCCCACCCTCTATCCCACTCTCCGTCGCTAGGCTGGATTTGCTGAAGAAGCGCGTCTTCTTCCCCCGGCTGGAGTGGAACTGTGCTCATACGGTTCGAGTCCCGCTGGGCCTGGCGATAGGCTGACGGCGAATCGGGCTTTGCTGTTACTCTTTGAAGGGCTGGGCTCGCTGAACGTCTTCATCGGACGTCAAGGCAACAGAGTTCAAAAGCTCGCTTTTCGGCGTTAATGATTCTGCAAAGGTAAACATGCACACACGCATGCATAGGCTCAAAGTTGCCAATGTCTGTATAAAGATAATATTTATTAATTCATATAATAACATTGGTAATACGAATAAAATGGCATACAAACATACACATGCTGAGCAGGCCAGACGGAGGTGAACGGAAACCGAAACAAACCAGCGCAACAGCACAAGCAAACATTCATACACGGTCACAGTTGAGTGGAATTTCTTAGGCAAGTTGGGTAAAGTACACTGGCTCTCATGTGCAACTGTAGCGCAAAGCCACTAGTCGCGTGGCATGGCTGCATGACTCTGAGACGGCAGCCTAACGACCAAGAATTGGTGGCTCTGTTGCTGTGTCTGCAACCAATTTGCATCAAACTGAAAGTTTACTGTCTTGGCTTGGCAAGGAACTGGTTGCCAACGTTTCTGTGACCTGGCAGGGCTATAGAAGGAGAGTCTGCCGGAGTCCGCAATGCTCTAAACGCCTCGAACCCCTGACACATGATGCAACGGTCCCGATCTACTTGTGTGTGTGTGTGTGTGTGTGCGTGTGTGTGCGTGTGTATGTGTGTATTGAAGAGATTTTCGAAGGCTAATCTCATCAAAAGCGAAAAAGGCTCTAGAAAATTCTGCTATGCGATTTCCTCTTTCGGTTTGGTTGAAATCGTGCTGAGATTTTGTCTGTCTTGCCACTTTGCAGAGCATCATCATTTTTGCTCCTTTATGCTCTCTCTTTATATACCCTAGATTGAAATATTACATGAAGTAAGAAATCAATTTATGCCTCATATAAAAATACATTTGTGTATTTGTGCTCGGAGGAGGGAGGCGAGGTTGAGGTGGATAAGTCGGCTACTTTTCTTGACTCTCTGGCCTGAAATCGTTGAATTAATGATTCCCCGATCAGATGTTCTTTATCATATCAGAATGATCGCTTGATAATATAGTATGACATGGCTTTCCATTTCGAGGGAATATTTCGTTGGGAGGCAAATGCGAATTTGATTGTGCAAAGAAGATTTCGGCTCATGCTACAGCGACCCGATTCAGCCCTGACAACAGAAGGCCTCAAAATAAAAAAATTATTTCTCTTTTAAAAAAGGGCGTCAATACATAACCTTGGTATCTCATAGTTTGGTTGGTTTTTCCATACTTCTACTTCAAGCACATGCATTTTGCAATTGTGTTGAATGAAAAATAAGTGTATGCAGCCCCATATGTTTGGGTACATAAACGAACCAACAAGCAATGAAATATACACAAACTCACAAACAAACAAACAAACAAACAAG